CAGGATGATATGGTTCTGTATGCATTGTCCTTGATCCTATAAAATTGCCCCCAAACCCTCTCCTGGCCAATTCCTAAGGAGGGATATGCATATTGATGCTCTTCTTAGCAGCCTCTGAAGAAAATATCAATGCCAAAACAGCCTGCCATTAACCCCGGTACCCTGCAGAGAGAGTTCCAGGCTCTAAGCCTGCAAGCTAGTTGGGCAGTTCAACAAGGCATGCTCAAAATGAAGCATATTGCAGGTCATTCCAGCCGTGTTGTATTCGAGTCCATCACATGTCCCAGCAAGTCCCTGTAAGTCCATCACAAGCCACAAGCTATTCAACTGATCTGTGACAAAAGCATTCTTTTGTCATTGTTCACCCTGTCACACATGACTGGCCTTATGGAAGGACTTGTGATGCATTCGAATGCAATACTGCATTTCAGAACGTCAACACTCACTTGAGGTTGGCCCTGCCAAAGTGGCTGTTAGGCAGACATCGTAAACATGTTCGGGCATCAGATGTCTTGTTCTTGAATGGTGTTGCCTTTTTGAAATACCCAACTTGTCCAATGCCTTCAGTCAGCTCAAGTTTTATGCTGTGGGACATGGTACAAATATTTTGCTAGATTTTATTTTAAAGTTCTGGATATCAGTACAAACCCTTAGTACTGTTTATGATATTTTTTAAATAATAGGTAAAGTTATAAGGTATAACTTAGAGAATATAGTTTGTTTTATTGGGCACATTGGTTTTGTTAAATTAATTTCATATTTTAAATATGCTCATGCCATCTGCTCTTGAGATGTAAAAAAAGACACTTCTGATAGAGGTAGATATAAAAATACATGCTGTGTATACCAATTTAGTCTTTTGTAAAGGTTTGTCATCTTGCTAATTTGAGAAAAATGTTATGAAATCTGGGCCCAATTTCACGGCACTGCTTAGCATAGACGCCCCACGTATTTCATGGAGACCATGAGCAGTGAACACAGCCAAAGACATGCTAACTTGAATGGAATGATTTGCTTAAACTTAGTGATGTAATGTTCAGTAGAATCTCTATGCGCATGCAACTATTTGCACAACCATACCAAGGACTGCCCTGAAATAGTGCTTAATGTTAGCAGTTTTCTGCTAAAGTTAGCCCGACTTTTCTGCCAAAAGCAGCTCCTTGAAATTGGGCACCGAGCTGTAGCTCAGCACATACTGTTACCATTCAGTTGCACTTTGTCCACAATTTGAGCGGAGCTCTGAGGTGTACAAATTTTTCTTTCATGGGGATTTTTCGTAAGATTCCTAGTTGTTTATTAAGAGGGCGAATGTTCGGTTACCGGCCGTTCTCTTCACTCTGGTTGTGTTTTGTGGTTTTATTAGTAAAGTTGCGTCTTGTACCTAAGAAATCCAAATCATTTGTAAATGGGGCTTGGGATGAATGGACTGGGTTCAGTTGGTAATGCACACTCCATGTTAGACACTTCTGGGTTGCCATTCCCAAGTCTTCAGTGTGAACCGTTGACGGTTGTACATGGAACCAGGGAAGTTGGCGAGACTGGTTCTTGCCCTTTCTCATCCAGTCTCGGGTTAAAATGGAGTGACCAGCATAAAACCCCGCTTCACTCTCATTTTCAGGCTCATGTGGCAACCTCTTGGTTTGAGGGTTGCCGGTGAATATTGCCGGGGATGGTCGCACATTGTGGTTTGGGAACACATTGCATGCGTGCTCTTTTTCGTGCATGCATGGTGCCAAGTGCACCAGGAATATTTTCACCAAAATGAGCACATAGGCATAAGGTTATAGTTTTGTCACAAGGGGTACTCCACTTGTACAGGGTACAAAGTTTGGGATTTTTATATTAATGCTTTATGGCAGTTAAAGAAAGTGTTGTGTAAATATTGTAGCCATTGAAATGAAGTTATAATTTTTGACAGCATTTCAGGTGTTTGTGAGCTAGAACAGTCTTTATTTTTCATTTGAGGTATCTTGCAGCTGCAAGTTATTGTCCCTCTTTCAAGCTTACTGTAAAGCTGCTTTGTCTTTTGGTTTGTTTGCAATCAACCTGTTGATTATTTCATCTCCCAGGTGTAAACTGTGTGTACATTGTGTTTCAGTTTTTGTCAGCCAAGGTGTCACCAATATTAATTTGAAACAATGTCAGAATTTCAATAAAAAAGCTAACTTCTCGTTGAAAGAGTTGGTTGCTGATTTGTTTATTATAGTGCATAATGGACTGGATGATTGAGGGCCGTGTTCTGGTGTGGTGTCGGAGGAACTTTGAATACATGTACCCACTGTCACAGTCTGTGCCATGCGGTCTCACCTCTGAAAACAAAACCAACTGTCGCTTGTAATTACTTCTATTTGATGATATTCGAGTGTCTAAAATATAGTTTGCCAATGTCAACGGCCTCAAAATTTGTCCTAAACGCTCAGAAAGCTCAACTTGTTAAGAAAAAAAGTCAAAACGTTTGGACCCCCAATTGTATGGTCCCCGGAAACCAAGTTCGCCTTCCTTCTTCCAAGGTCCGCCGTACCGGCCTGTCTTCTTGTGCGTTATTAATGAGCCGTGACGGCGCCCTCTGTTGGCCACAATGTGACATGATCGATTCATGTGATCGCACGTGTACTTCGTTGGCATGCTAGCGCGTGGTGGTCGCCGCTGGCCCGCTCTCGTTGCAGTGCGGTAGACTCCGGGCCACAATTTGGGGGGAAATGTAATGTATTTGGGGGGAGATGTCTCTTGGTGACCCCAAGAGATATCTTTTAATAGTTCCGTCGACTATCAATGCTCAAAGAACTAGCTGAAACCATCAAAGGCCAAACCAAGAATGAAGCGTCCTGCGACTCGTGCGAGTCGAGTTGGCTTAAGCTACGATTTTAACAAGTGTCATTTGCGCCTGGATTCTTCTGCAAACGGCAGGTAGGAATTTCCTATTATTTTTGCCGTTCGTTGTTCATTGATTCTAAGACAGTGAGTTTTAAAATTTAAATACAGCACAATGTTACTTAGGAAAGAAAAACCTTACCACGCCACGCCGTTGCATACCTTCATGCGCCGTCAGATGGAAGGGACAGACAAGGACTAGGCCTGGGCTAAGCCCATAGCCTATGGAGCTGGACCATCGTGGACAAGGGTCTAGCTGCTGTACATGATGTAGGCCCAGCCCAGATTGGATGCCAGTCTTCATTACATCAGGACTGACAGTCCACTTGGGCTAGGTCTAGCCCAGGTTGGACTTTGCCTTCATTTCATTACGACCGTCCACTTTGGACATTGTGTAAGCTGGATTTTTTGGTTGGGGGTTTGCTTGGCTGTCCCTCTTCCCTTTACAAATAACCCTAATCCCAAAACTGCCTGTAATAAAACTGTATTCCAGGAAGGGGGTAAGCTTTCACGGACCAGGCTTAGTTCACATAACTTTCCACACTCTATGATGTGGACCTTTTTTGTCCAGGAGTCAACACAAGGTGAATTGTATGTTACGAGGTTGTCATAAGTGTACACAATACAACAAATCACATGCCTTTTGGGCTAAAATGGCCACCTGTTTTGGTATGGCAGCAAGTTCACGTGGTTCGGCGGTGTTCTAGCATTGGACACGCTGAATTACTCTGGCAAACTATGCATCAACTTACCCTTGATTTGGGCCATGCAGTGTTCAAGGCATTATGTAACGTGTACTTTGATTTTTCTGTGCCTCAGAAGCCACGTACCAGCCAGAATGTGACACGTTAGATGAGGCTGTGGAGCAGATTAACCAAGAGCAGGAACCGCTGGCAAATTTCAGAGATACTGGTAGCATCAACTGCACCCGACATGCAGACTGCGAAGGAATTTTGTGGCACATCCCATGTTCCACATATATCTTCGATGCTCATCAGAACACCACCTTGCTCCCGGCCACCCAGCGCCCAAGTAAGAATTTAGTTGAGGTTGGATAGATGATTGCATGAATTTGAAAGGGTGCTGTGTTACCTATAGGAGAAGCATCCTATGGGGCTGATGTTCCACAGGCATATGCACTTGCTCTGACAAAGCACAAATAATTTCATCTCAAAATGTTCCGATCGATCTCAGTCTGCCAAGGATCAGTGTAGATGGTGCTGCGTGATCTTCTCACAAAGAGCTAGTGTGTGTTAGGGAAGGAGCATAGTGCCTAGTGCATCAGTATGTTCAGAAAGCTTGACGGGTTTTCCTTGGAATGTGCACAAAACTTGTATCATCTTTGTGTATAGATGTCAATTTTGGTATTTCTCTTTGTTGCTAGCTATCGGGTAATCAGCTCAGTAGCTTTGTAACATTTTGCATTACATACCAGGACTGTTCTTGTCAGAGACTGGTCAAAGTCTGCTGATGGTTTCTTTCCAATTTGACCGAGGGGTGCAGCTTTGCTTCCAACAAATTCCTTTTTTGTAATCGTAGGCCAACAAAGCTTACGGTGCCAACAGATGCAAGAACTTGTCAATGGAATGACGCCTCACAGTTTTCTTTGCACGAAGAATGACGACTGTAGTGGCTTCAGATGCATGGGTGCATTTGACATCAGGTTTTTTGTAAGTTGATTGTTCCAGAAAGCCAGTTAAAGAATTCTCAAATAATGTCGCAGTAGAGGAGATGCCATACTTTGGGCACATGAAATATTGATCTACGTATGCACGAATGTGGATGTTGAATTCCGAATTGTAATTTGGCTGTGTTCATCACTAGTCTTTCTCAAGTCAAATCAGCTTTTTTTCCTCTGTCAACAGTTGAACAAAGTACATGTATTACTTTGAAGGCTTCTTTGTTCCCACCAGGATTAAATAATGTGCTCAATTCATTGCATCCATATTACAGTCTCGAAGGGTCGGGCAGGTGGGCGGGAGGGGCAACTGGCCAGCAGGGTTGTGGGGGATTCCCGGGGCACAGTGAGGCTTCATGCCTCCAGGTGGCAGCAAGATCACATTAATTCTGTCTTTGTTCTGTTCCGCCGCCCCCACAAGTCTCTTCCAATCACAGCGGTATCTGTGCTAGACAGCTGCACTGAACCCATCTCATACACCATTACCATTCAAAGAAATGGCCGGGATGTCTGGTCCCATCCGTTCATCCACGCGGAGACCGTCACTGTTGGTGAGTTTGTCAAATCTGACATTTCTGTTAGTTCGGATGCCTTTACGGGTACTAAGTAAATCACAGAGTTATTCTGTCCCTTGTTTGATTCATAATCAATCATGATTTCCCGTTGTTTTTGCTTGTATGGCCGTCCCCCTGGTGCAAGATCGAATCATTCCCGTCATGCCTTGCCGTAAGTCAAGCAGTCCATGATGTTTACATGTATCCATGATGCATCCGGGATGCACAGTAGTTGCAGCTTGCGCGTAGGGAGGGGGCATAAATGCTTTAAAAGGCCATCATTGGTGCTGGGGCCAATTTCATGGAGCTGCTTAAGTGCAGAATTTGCTTAAGCACGAAAAAACCTTGCTTAATAAGCAAAGGTTACCTGCTCGAGCTTTATGTGATCAATTATATATAACGGTTTAACTTTATGTGATTGTCATGCTAACCAAAAGACAGGTAAATACCATTCCAAAACAAGATACATCACAAGAAGTTTGGGTGGGTAACTTGATTTGTCAAGCAAGGTTTTTTCATGCTTCAAAAAATTTTTCGCTTAAGCAGCACTACGAAATTGGCCCCAGCTGTTGGTTTGTCATTGGCATCATTGGTTTCATTGGCACACAAGCGTTAGAACTGACTGTACAAGTTAACATCAGTAACCAAAGTAGCGTTCATCAACTCGGTTTTCCCCTGCTTCTTGTTTTTGCAGTTCCTTTTCCAGACAGCGTGAATGATGCCTACAAACCTGCCCCCAACAGGTAATGAAAACTGGTCAGCCAAAACAAACTGAAATGCCAAGGATACAAAATTCAACTTTTTCAAGTGTATGAAAAGTCTGATCCTTCCCAGAAATTGTGCAGCTTCATTTTCTTTGATGTTATTGGAGTTCTGGACAAAGATAGCATGCCATTGTGCCTGTTTACCGTCCACAATATGGGTGTTAACGTTTCGCCATAGTGCATCTCCGTGAGTTTGCAACGCGTTGGCCAATCGTGATGCACGAAATCTGTCGACACAATGTGTGTTTGGCATGGGGCGACAGATTTCACGCTTTGTGATTGGCTACTGCATTGCAAACTCTTGGAGACACACTATTGTGAAACACCCGTATTGAAGTCCCAGATTGTTTTTGGTTCTACTCGGCAGTATCCTGATTGCATTGTTTATCAGGTCCCTCCAGTAATGAGCAAGATGACCAGCCCCCCCAAAAGCAGAGGTGGCAAACCTGGCACGTTGGCCCAACCCAAGTTGAAGGCTGGTAAGTCAAACACACACAGACACATTGGTATTTATGAATATTGGCTTTGTGCGTGCACCGTAGGTGGCGCTGTCTTTCCCAGTAGCAGGAGCTCATTTCATGGTGCGTAATTGACCTGTCATTGCTGGTCCAGGCAACCAGTGCATACTGTCATTTGAGAGAGTGCACTGCAGCACGGGAACCGTCTTGGACAAATGATTGATCATTTGTTCTCATGAGTTGACATGTGGTTCCCACATGAAATCCTCAAACAAGCAGTCTTGAGTTGTTTTAATTTCTTGTTCATTATGTTATTCTCTTAGCAAGGATAGTTGTGGCCTTTTACCGACAAAGTTCCACAAAGTTACCACAACCAGATTAATGGCCGATGACGCAGAGTTTGCAAATCGACAAGTGATTTAATGTCAGTGACTAATAATCTGTGGTTGCTGTTGTCGTGGTAGCAGCAGCCATCTTGGCACTGGTGTGGTACCGTCGGCGATCTCGCCGGTACATGAATCATAGCCACCTGGTGGAGAATTCGACTGCGGCTAAGTGCACGTAGTGCCCCGTCTCCCGTTGTATCGGGTAAGTTCACAACTGTTAAGCATGCCATGGCCAGTGCCTTTGTGATGGCGATGTGATTAAAGGACCTTAAAAAAATTGATATGTCTTAACAATACTTTTGTAAGTACACGAAGTGAACGCAACATTTTCTTTGTGCAACCCAGTGAATTTGTGCAGTAAATTACAAGTTTGTTAAACCTTAGACTGGCAATTAACTTAAACGGGTGGGGAAAAAAAGGAAATAACTGTAAAGAGTGAATAATAATTTTGTTTCCGTTTGACACATTCCAAGCTTTCACAGTACTTGGAAATATCCACCTCGCTGTCATACTGGTTGAAACACTTGTATATCGCAAAGTTGAACACACCCATTATTTTTGCTCAGCAAGTTTATTGTCGACCTTGAGAATTGCTCTGGTTGAGTTGGGTTTGCCCGTTGACTTTTCAATACTAGGGCAGTGCTGCCACTCAGTAGGGGTCTATCTGTAATAATTGATGTAATCCTGAATTTGTTGGTGAACAAGGACTGTAGCGGGATTCTAATCTGTAAATTACAGATTTCCATAGCCCCTCCACTCTTAATTCAAAGGTAATTTTTGTTTGGAATCTTCCATGATCTTCATTCTCTAGGAGCACGCCATCCCATGTATATCATGTAACAGGGTGATATGGTTCTGTATGCATCGTCCTTGATCCTATAAAATCGCCCCCAAACCCTCTCCTGGCCAATTCCGAGGAGGGATATGCATATGAACGCTCTTCCTAGCAGCCTCTGAAGAAGATATATATATATATGCCAAAAAACCTGCCATTAACCCTGGTGCCCTGTAGAGAGGATCCTGGGTTCCAATACCGCTTTAGTCAGTGAACCAGTTGGGTAGTTCAACAACGCGCGCTCAAAATCAAGCGCATCATTAACACTTAATTGCTTGAGGTTGACCCTGCCAAGTTGGCTGTGTTCAGACGCACAAGCAGTGAGCATATTCAAGCAGGCATGGTGTCAACAGGTGTTTTGTTCTCCAGTGCGACCTTGCCTTCTTGAAACGTATACCTAGCTGGCTCTCAATGCTTTCGTCCAGGTGAAGTTTTATGCTGTGCACCATGGTACAAATAGTTTGCTAGATTATTTTTTTTGAACTTCTGGAAATCAGTACAAACCCTCAGCACTGTTAATTTTTTTTCAAATATTAGTTATATAAAATAAAATTGTTATGTATAACTTAAATGTTCTTTTTATTGGGCAAAATTATTAACAAATGTTATATTTCAAGTATACTTGTGCTATCTGTTCTTGAGATGTAAAAAAGACAGTTCTGATTGAGGTATTTACATGTACACATGTATATGTAGTATTGTGGACATACATAATGCGTGTGATTTGCAGTCTTTTGTAAAGGTTTTTTATCTTTTTCATTTGAGAAAAAACTACCATGCAGGACACTTAGCTGACAATTTAGATAACTTCTGAGGTTTGCAAAAGTTTCTTTCATTGGTTTTTTTTCCTTAAGATTATCAGGTGTTTGAGAGGGCCTATGTCAAGTAATCTGTACTTCTCTATAGTCTGGTTGGGATTGGTGTTTGAATAGTAAAGTTGCGACCCATTTCATAGAATTCAAAATACTTTATAAATGTGCCTGGATGTATGGACTGGGTTCAAATGGTAATGTGCACTCCATGTTAGACACTAGCTGGTTGCCACTACTGACTCTTCAGGGTGAACCAATGATGATTGTGCATGGGAACCAGGGAAGTAAGTGATCACTTCAAGACTGGTTCCCACCCTTGCTCCATCCAGTCTCAGGTTATAATGGAGGGACCAGCAAGAAACCAGCTTATCTGTACTCTCGTTATCATGCACGCTTACGTGGTGACCCAGAGTTTGGGACACTGGTGAATATTCTAGCCCTGGCATCTCATTGTGGGGAATGGTTTCACACACTACGTGTAGTAATGGTATACACTGCATGCATGCCCGCCCATATGCATGTATAGATGTTGCCAAGTACACAAGTCATATTTTCATCAGAATGAGCACAAAAATTATAATATTTTTGTCACCATTGAAGGGCAGGGTACTTTACTTGTATGGTTTGCAGAGTTTAGGCTTTTGATCAAAAGTTAGCATTTTTGGGCGGTTTATCAAAATGTGTAAATATTGTACCCATTGAAATGCACTTATAATTTTTAGATACATGTATGTTTGTGAGAACAGTCTTTATTTTGAATTGGAGGAACCTTGCAACTGGAAGTTATTTCCCTCTTTCAAGCTTACTGTAAAACTTGCTGTTTTGTCTGATGTCTTGTTTTTATTTGCAATTACATATAGATTTTTCACTTCATACATGTAAACTGAGTGTGTACATGTATGTTACTGTGATTAAGTTTTGGCCGGCCAAAAAGTTGTCACCAAATGTGATAGATTCCGCCGTATTTTGAATGCTTTGATAATGTCACAATTTGTTGCTCGCAGAATCAGAACTTATTGACCATGTCGAACTTTTCCTCAAAGGGGCAGAAAGTGTGATTTAATGTGACAGGTCGCGAATGTCTTTAAAATATGAAAAGACACAAAAGAGAGATGGCTGGCTTATTTGATAGCTACTCTTGATGTTTTATATTTTTTACAACTATGAATAACTATTTTATAGTAACTATTTTTGACAAAATGTAGTTAAAAGGAATTAATTCAAGTCTCTGTGTTTGTTCTGTTCTTGTTGTGTCAAAATGGTTGAAACCCCAAGCCAATGCTTTGTTTAATACTCTTTTAGGGATCCTTGGGCCAACTACTTCTGAAAAGTGTTGGAGCCATCCCGATATGACTTATTCGATTCCGGGAGGTGTGTCACCCCGCCCACAAAAAGGCATATAGTCGTCAGTCCACCCACAGATGACAGGTTATTGGAAGCCGTAATGACGTCATCTATTGAGCCACACACTTGCAGAGTGGAATCTTGGCTCGCACCTTGCACTGCCATTTATAGATTGACCTCAATCGTGAGTCATTTCCAGACGATGGAAACCTACAGATTACGTTTATCGCTGCACCCACCGTCCTTGGATCAACTCTGCAAACTGGTAAGTTGTGCAAATTTCATTTCTTAACTCGGTCTCAGCCGAATTGGAACAATGGTTGTTTACACTTTGGGTAAGTTTACAGTGCTGTCTTTTGATGGAGCATGAACAAAGTTGTTGGACTTTTAAGCATTTGGGAATTTCTCGATGAAGTTTGTAGCATTTCTGGGAGAGGCCTTCCAGAAAGTGAGTCATCACAGGGTGACAGGTAATGGGTTGTACATGGTTCTTTGATGGTCCCTAGTTTGTTTTTCTCTCCCTTTACGTTTGGAGTTATGGCTTATGAGTTAATTGGAGGAATCTTGAATGTTTGGGACATCTCGGGAAAGGAAATATTGTTTCCTATTACTCTGTATATTTCAGGACTTGAAGGAATCATGCAGGATTTGGGTCTACTTGCTCAAAGATGTTCATTTCTGAAGTACATTTGATTTGGTTGGACCCAAATATTAAGATATGAGTTTCTCAGGGCAGGAATATCCTACATGTTTGTCACAGAAATGTAAAATGAAGTGCTTTATAAAAAGGTCGTCTGGTTTGGCGGGTTAACTTAAAACTAGTATGTGGTTCAGATCAATGTGTCCATTCATTTGATTTTATCTCTCAAATTCTTTGCTATTTGCACAGGTTGCCAAGTAATTGGCTTTGAAAAAAAAAACCTTTGATTCTTTTTTTCCCCAAATACTGTTACTAAACAGGTGGGCACGTTTTCCTCAGATTTGCTAATGTCTTTGGGTTTTGCTTCTGCTATTACAAGTGGAAAATACTGCACACAAGTCACCTGAAGTTTGTAAGCAAGTTCCTCATTTTCTCCCCTGAATTCCCAGTTCCATGCCTGGCTTAAACATCAGTCAGTTCTTCGAACTCACATCCGACGCTCATCCCAGGACCCTTCTGGTGAAGCATCGAAATCGCCAAGCCTCTCTTGCAAAATATGTGAATTGAGCGCAGGATATGGTCAGTAGACAGCCAACCACCACCACGATGGCTTTACAGTGTGGAACGGGCGTGGGGAAGTCATCCTGGACACTTTGTATGATAATCTTGCTTGGATTATACTCTGGATCGAGGCAGCACATAGCATGTAAGATCTTTTGACAGAGTAATTCCCTCATCCTGAATAACCTTGGTTACCCACTGCTAGTAAATGACTCATTGTTAGTAACTTCATTTTATAATATTCTCCACGTTGAAGTGAGACTTTCTGCCTGTGAAGGAAATTTTCCAGTTTTTGAGACGTACAGTTTTGAATACGCAATGTAGGCCTAACTACATTTTCAATTTACTTCTTGTTTACTCATAGAACAATATTTCCGTTTTAGTTCTCATTTATTTACAAAATTTAAAGTCAAGTAAAGACTAAGACTTGACAGAATAAAGATCGAGTGATCAATTGACATTATTCTGAGGTTTGGAGATCCTTACATAAGTGGAACTTCAATGGTGTAGCAATGTCGTGTGGCAAGAAGGTTGCAACACCGTACTGTTTCTGTAGCAGGGTTGCCATGTTCAGACAAGACAGCGCCAGACAATAGGCATCTCTTTTCATGGGGATTCAGACATTATGACATTCACAAAAAAGTGCACTTGTCACAAAATGTGGAAGGGGGGGATATTCCCTTACCCTGCCTCACTGAGGTGATATACCACTGAACTTCATAGTTTTTTATTAACCCTCCTATGCAAAGGTGCATTCTTGACAAAGTTGTCCTAATCAGTTAAAATCAGACTATGTGATTTCTATGGGCTGTGGCAAATCAAGTGGAAGGAGTTTCTGACCGTCGTTGACTGTTACAGTAGATCGAAGGCGGGTTAAAATATGCTCCCACCCTTTTTTTCTCCGTAGATGCACAGCAGGCTTTGGAGCCGCAGTGTTCGTCCCTGGATGGTCTGATCGATCATATTGTTCAAAGCATGAACTCCATGCCAGGCACCGCCACAATCTGTGCCAAGATCCCTGGTTGTACCGGGATCAGGTGCTCCCTCAACATCTTGGTGAGTTTCCTGTCCTATCGCAACAGGGGCCCGAGAGGTCACACCGCAGCCCTTTGGCTGTGTCAGCTTTAACCTAATACCTTTTTGATGACATTTTGTTACATTGTATGGGTTCTCTCAGAATTTCTGGCCGTCCTGGGCAGGGTTAGGATAGTAGAAGTAGTGTCCCAAGCAGGGCGGTGTAGGGTGGTACAGGATCGAACCAGAAGGGCTCCCGTGGGGGGGGGTATCTCCCAAATCCCCCCCACCCCAAAATGAAAAACGGGGGCATGGACATCCCCCTTCATTTTTCCATTTGTTTTTCTTCAGGGAGATACCTTTTCCTGCTTTCCTTTCCTTCTTTTCCTCAGCTCATCACAGGTTATTTAGTAAATTTAAAAGATAAATTAATACTGATAGTATCCCTGCCCATTTTGGGGGTTCACCTTCATTTTGCTCCCTCGTTTTTTGCCACTGTAAACAGTTCACCAAAGTGGCTGTCAAACAGAAGTTTGCAAAAATAGTCTCAGCACAGCCTGTGATTGAAATGGGCCCCTGGAGTATTTCTCTTGCCTGTCCTAATTACTTGGCTGTGGCTTGACATTATGTACAACTCTATGGGAAATGGCTTCAGTCACTGTCATTGACTTTTTATGTAACTTCAAGCTGCAGCCACTGGATTCAGAGGAAGCCTGCTTTGCTTGTATATAAGAGTCTTCCAGTACTAGTGCACGTCTGTGCACCCTGAGGGACTGTGGGTGACCAGGAGTGCATTTTCCTGTGGCTGAGAGAAATAGGATCGACCATCTTCTGGTCACTTACAGTCCCTCTGGGCATATAGACCAGCACAAATGACCAAATCATGCACTCCACAGGTGTTTTGAAACACGCCATTCTAAAAATTTAAAGTAGGATGAGAAACTTTTATAATTGAACTGTTCAACGTAACTCATGGGCAGTTAAATCATGAGCAGTTAACTCATGAGCAGTTAACTCATGGGCAGTTAACTCATGGGCAGTTAACTCATGGGCAGTTAACTCATGAGTAGTTGACTCATGGGCAGTTAACTCATGGGCAGTTAACTCATGAGTAGTTGACTCATGGGCAGTTAACGCATGTTTCTCTAGATTTAGTTATTGTTACACTGTTCACATCAGAAAAGGGCACTGTAACCAGCCAAAAATATTGAGTACAGTGTCTGATTGGAAATTACGTATGCGAATGTTTTGATGGGCATCTAGTTCCTGCTGACATAAATTTTATACCTTAAGCTTTTGTTAGTGGACCCCAAGTGACCGTGTTTCAGCCAACTGGGATAATGTGACCCAGCAGATGTGTGCATGACATAGATCTACTTACCAGTGTTGAAGATTAATTAGGGAAAACAGTAGGCTTAAACTTTTTGGCCGACCAAGGACATATTTATTCCCATTCATAAATACCTTTTTAACCAGCGAATCAAAAGAAGTCAATATGTGATTGATTTCAAGCGATTTTGTTCAACAATTTTACTCTCATTTTTCTGAACACCCCCGTCCATTTTGTGGAATATTCGTTGTGCAAATTGTCCAGTTGGTGCATGCATGGTGAGCCCTGTGCACACAGATGCTTGACCAATCAGAATTGATTAAACTGTCTTGTATCCAGGCACCAGTGTGTGATTTACGCAGCGGGCATTTTCACTTTTCATGGGGCATTATCAAATGTTAATACACGGTCAAGTTGCGCGCTGTTGAATAGGGAGACTGTCTGAGGTATTTATGAATATGGAGTTTGCAATTTTGCACAAGTAAAATCTACCTTTTAAAAATAACCTTTATCTGTCTTTTGGATGTGTAGAAAGATCTAGGGGCTAGAAAAGGTGCTTCTTAGCTTCTGAATTCTCCCTTTAGTGCATGGATATACAGTGACTTTCTGCTGACATTTATCTACTTCCCCCATGCATAAGAAACCGGTGGACACTCTGGATATGAATATGCAGGACACACAGCTATTTTTAAGTCGATACTAACGAACTTACTTCCTCATTGTGACTTGTTCCCTAGCAACTCTCCCCCACTGGATAAAATGACCAATTTCCTTTTGAGAGTGATGCAGTTTCTGTAATCAAACTATGGCGGTATATATGTCAAACGTTTAAGCTGAGCAGAGAACACGGTCAGTTGTTAACATTGCCCAAAAGTCATTCCCTTTTCGGTTTACTTGAGTTGCTGATCATTTGAAACGTATGGTTTTATTCAATAACATGTCAAGTTTTACTTCAAATGCCCAGATGGTTGATTTGAATGTGCATTTTGTCAACCTCTAATATCATGTCCAAAATTCAGGCATTGATTTTTTTCTGATTATTTTTTTATTGGAACAAATAACCTTTAGAAAGAATATTTCCATAAAAAGCAAGTTCTCAAATGAGCTCATTTTTACCGCTGTTCCCTGGAACCTACCACAGTTAATAAGTTCATTTGTGGCTCGATTCGCTGACTGGAAAAAAAGGGCAAAATTTTCAAAGCTGTGAGGCAGCGGTTACGAGATGCCAACAAATGTACAAGATATTTCAGACAGAATCCTTAGCTTTCCAGGCTTGATGTATGCCAGGGTTAAAATGCTTAACTAACGCTAGAGATAACACGTACATTTGCAACAGCCAGTGGCTTTTAGGGCATTTCCTATTATAGACTCATGTGTATTATTTCTAGTTGGAGCCAGGTAAATCTGACACATACGTATGTGTCCTTGGAGTGGGAAAGGAAAAGAAAGACTTCCGTTTATCACCGTGAGCGTCACGTCTTTCTCGTTAAAGTGTAGCTGCAGTGAATTCTTCTTCACAATTTAACAGTCTTCTTCAGTTTCTGAAACCTGTTTGACGTCCCTTTAAGGTTAAATGTATTGAACAGTGCACTGTTTTTAGACAGTTCTAATGATCCATGCTTTTCTGGACAATGAGGGCACTGTTATTGTGATGTCATCCAGGGAAGATGGTTTGGTGCATTGGTGACAAGGTGCATTACTCACTAAAGACATTTCTGAAAGGGTTGCCTGCTTCCTTATTGCTAGGCATGTTTTTACACAAAAGTGAATCATCAATGAAGAGAACATTGACCAGAAAAATCTCGGAGACTAATTTTTCGGTACCCAAACGAAGGTATCATAATTGAAGATTTTTTTCCCTGGACGACATCACAGTCATGCTCATGAACATCAGAAATACTCTTCAGCGTGAAAAAAAAACCAAAAAGTAGCCATGTACACTTTGAAATAGTGAAAAAAAAATTAAAGTAAGATTAACTAAAACTGAGACACGAAGGAGCATTTTGGATGTTTATACTGATATTTAACACATTCCTATCCTATTTACTGGTCAAGTGCACGTTAAAGAACCTGGGATATTTATGAAAGAGTGCGCGTTCAGTCCATTTTTAACCGTTTGTGCGGTGCTTCCTGCTGGAGACCAGGGGAAAAAGTTTCTGTCCGAATAACTCACAATCGACATTATCACAAAATTTACAGGGACAGAACATCGGAATTAGTTTGAGGATGTATCCCTGTGCCACGCCGGCACAGATGAGACTGCGTATCTTCATCCCCTCCAGCGGAATCAACTTCAGCCAAATGATCACCCACGGGACCACCATCTCGCTTCCAGGTTGGATGTTATAGCTGAGTCACATTCTCGTAAAGCTTCTGAACCTATTCCAAACCCCCAAAATTTAGAGATGCCTTTTAAATCAATGGGCCCAGAGTCCTCCAGTTTCAGTGCAAATTTTCACGCACCCTTGATGCTAAGAGTCAGTGTTTAAATTTATTGCAGATCAGGGAAATATTATAAAACCTATTTGGATTTTTGTAGAAAAATAAGGGAATTTGGTGGTTTTCAAAGAGTGAAAAGGATTTTTAAAATCTGCAATTTTTCATGCATTCATGTGACTTTTTTCATCACAAAAACAATCTGATGTAGTGGGGGCCATTCATTTTTGGTTATCATATTTTTTCATTTTTGATATTTTCCAAGAGCATACGAGACATGATACCACCCCCCCCCACAAGTCCAGTTTGTACATGTACCAAAATAATGACAAAAATGGATTCGTCCCTGAGTGTTTTTAGTGAATCAACACTTTCCGATCCATCCCATGTGCTGTTTTTCGGTGAATCGACACTTACCGATCCCTTCCCGTTTGAACGGCCCAAAGGTGTGTCTTTGAATTCCACAGGTTTCCAGTACAGTCCCCTTCCAGGCATCCGCATCCAGGCTCAGATTGCTGTCAACTTCAAGAAAGTTCCCGAGGGATTGAAGCTTGGAGTAAGTCATCAAGCATAACACAGCATCAAACGAAAGCTATTTCATGCTTCTGAAGTGTTTTATAAAATCTTTAATATTTCTTGACAGACAGATCATACATTGTGTCAGCCACTCACACTCTCCATCACAGTGAAATGTCCAACCTTGCTAATTGTATTTGATGTCTAGGAATTTTCATAATTGTTACATAGAGAAATTTGTCAAACTCTGACTTTCAGATAGTCCTTTCTTTTGCTTAACATACTCAGTGCTTTAACATTTTCATTGCTGCACAATTGTCTTCCATTTCAGGGTGGAAGACAAGCTATGAAATCAGTTAAATTAATGTTTCCATCCTAAAATCTTGGTTTAGGGATCTCCAAAAGTTGCATTTGTGAGAGGATCTTACAGTCTATTTTTAATGTTTTGATTGGGAGTGATCTTGTTCTAATTTGCAAACTGAAGTACAAAGGGCTCTATTTTATGTTGATCAGTTACTCAGCTTTACGTCTCGATGACACTTGACCCTGTTTTGGTGGAAAAAGTTGAGAGTTCCTTTTTTTGACGTGGTGTATGGTTCCTGTAAACGTATGGTTCCTGTAGACTCAAAAGTCTGTCTGGCAACTTGTGACTCATTTCTAGGTTGGGTCACATTGAAAGATGAAACATTATTCATAGCTAGGAGGATGGAAGTCATGTACAAGCGTGTCACGTTTCCTCAATAATTGGAATTCCTTTTTTTTTATATGTCTTTTGCGTGTCATTCTTAATTTGAACACAGTACGCGGTCTTGCACAGCTGTGATCCCCCCCAACATATCCTAAAGCATTCCTGAATCTGGCGCTAGATAGCGCAGTTCATTCTCACAGTTTCGTAAAATTTTGTTTGCAGCTATGGTTCCAGGCGCGGGGCTTTGGTACAGGAATCAACTGGCCAATAGTACCAGACTACATCATCATGTTCCCTCCTTGCACTCCTGGTGAGAAGTTTCGTCCTTCCTTTTTTTTTTCCAACAACTGGCATTTCAAGGAAAAGAAAAGTATTCGTCCCCAGGAAGCTTCTGGATAGTTGTGAGATGTGCCCTAAAAACACACTTGTTATACTCAAAA